GACTTCGGACTAGGTTCGTTCTACTAAGTCTCCCTGGCAACAAGACCAAGTTGCGACAACAAGGAGACTGCGACCATACCAGAGACCACAATATCTTGTTCTTCATAACATCAGATTAAATAGATTACTACATTTTAGCATGTTCAGGTAGATAATTCCAAGACACTCATTGTAAGAAAACAATCGGTTTCCCAATAAAAAGGGCACATACCTAGAAAACGCTTTGGTCAAAGAGATGCATTTTCACTCATTATCAGAAGTTAACTGGCCTGTTTGTTCTGGTTCTGTACAGTTTTAAAATACGGCCTACTTCAGAGAATAGCACAAGTTTAGCTTAAAATACAATGTGGAATTCAGCAGCAAAATAATACGCTTAATTCTATTAATTCAAAAAGAGCTGTACATCAGGATTGGGTCCGGTATTCATAAGCTTCAGGCTAGAGTTCCTGGTCGACTTTTCTACCATGCTAAAGTGCCTGAGGTTGATATCACCATTGCTCTGTAATCGGCTGATTTCGCTTTAACATTTGTGTTCAAGTAATTCACAATACATACTCCTTTTGGGATGAAAACGAGATGAGCTTACGTCTATCATATGAGAGACATCGTCAGCTCTAGAAATGATTCCTGTAAAAGCCTTAAGTCAACCTTAGTTTTAACTTTAAATTTTTCAAGAATAAGTTCTAGCTATGACTGTTTGTCATACGATAGACATGGGCTCAATCAGCTTTCATCCGGAACGAGGGAGGATGTCTCGTGGACTACGTCAACTTGGACGTCGAAGCAAAATCAAAACGATTGCAATGCAACGAAACTCAGCTGTCGCCTTCTGGCGAGACCGGCCTATGAATCTCTTCATCGAGAGATTCATCGAAACCCAGTTACTCTTCGTGTATACCTGAAATCAGGTTTTGATCGAACCACTACCCTCTGTTGTCGGTTAAAGGTTATATACATTAATTATACATCAAATTATATTTTTTTTAGTTATATCATATGTTAATATGAGATGTATTCACCCAATTTAATTTAAGGTGGTAGTAGAATTTCCCCACAATGATACGAGTAAAGCTGACGTTTCCATTGAATTTCACAAATCCTTGCTTTCCCAAAAGTTGTTCTCATCCAGGCACTTTGCATCGATCTTTCCAACACCCCCAGCGGGAGTCGAACCATGACAGTGCAGGATGGAAGCTTGACACGTTAACCAGTACTTCATCACCTTACACGAAATTGGGTGAATACATCTCATACTACTGATTTACTGGTAGTCTCGAAGCTCCATTTAAAATACAAAAAATATCTCATAATACCTAAATCAAAGCAAGAGTTAGAGCGTCCCTAGAAATTATGACTATATTATGAGTGGATAAGTGTTTTTTTTGCGAAAATTTCATCAATTCCGTCTAGTTTGTCTTTGAGCCTAATAAATGGGTCCTCCTAAGCAAGTCAGGAATTATATCATCATCGCCAAGTATAATTGGCATTCACACTGGCAAGCTATAATATCTGTAAATACATGCAAATACACGGTAACCAGAAGTACTGACCATTTCTTCATGCTGTGTGGCATTTATTAACATGTAATTTACTTAATTACGATGGAATTGGCAATATAAGTATTTGTTGCAAATCGTTGTCCAGAGTTGGTCAGGCCCTCTTGGTCCTTTTTGTTGCATCATACGCTGATAAAATGTTGGAGATTAATAGCTCAACTTGGAGCGGCAGGCCTGACACTAGGTTACATGATGTAAGTTACACCTCGGCCAAAATGCCAAGTAAGTGCCTTCGCGACTGGGCGTAAGACAAAAAGCCATGGGTATATATAATGAAATGTTGTGTAGTGTTCAGTGATGCGTTGTTCGGTGGTTACGTTAGCGGTACCAACACACATAAGGCTTAAGCAGTAGATGGAGTCAAACGTCTCAAAGCTGGGCTAAACCGTCCTCATCTTATACGATCTGAGAGGAATACAGCTTTTTTGGTGCTAAGGTTAGTACTTCTTGCCATTAAG